ACATAGAGATTGATGATCCAATATAATCATACAACTGTATCACATCCCTTTTGTCACGTGATATTTCGATCAAGTATGAGACATGAAATTGTCATTTTCCTTTACCTGATTATTACTTTTTCGATCTCTGAGTGGACTAATTGTAACAATGAAAAAAACCATTTTCATTGTAATATGACCATATATTTTTTCAGTATTACTCATCGAGGGGCTCAGTAATATCTTTCACTTAATGTAAGGGATAAATTTTATCTTGACCACTCACAGTCTTCTGTATGAATATCACTAAACTTAATAATAGCCTTTATGATCACCCGGTCAAAGGTAACTTTTGACAAGGTCAAAGTTTAGTGGTCATCACGTAGGAATCCATGATGATCTTAGGTTAAAAGGCTTAATAATATAGTTACATATGAGATAAGCTTATGATTTGTACCATGCAACTTTCTCATAGCAGGTCGGTCCAACACTTTGTACTTTTCAAGTGCCTATGAATTTGATTTGTATCTATATAATTAATCAAATTGATACTAGTCTTGTTTCATCTATGATCCCTCATAGATGACCGACCATGGACATTTAGGACAATCACTATAGTTTGTTCAAGGATACATTTATCATAGTGAACATGCAATTGATATGATAACAAAAGAAAAATTCATTAAATAATAATGTGCATAGTACAATGATTGGCCCTGGGCACAATTTTCAACAAAAAGGGCCCTAAATATTAACCTGTAAAAGTTCAAGAGGATGATTTGAATAAGAAGTATTAACAGGAAATGGAAATTTACATTGGCAAACATCACAACTCTTATTCAAAGTAGGTTTGCAAGTAATGAAAGAAGATTTCTAACTAAGAACACTAATAACAGTAGGGGAGGCATGACCTAATCTAAGATGCTGTAAATCAGAGGTAGGTATAATTTTGAATGTAAAGTAACAGTAGGTACTAAAGAAGAGGATACCCCACTTACATGACCCTAAAGAATGCAAAGACCATCTTGAACCTCGGATATACCAATCGTCTTCCAAGGGTCTAGGACCTGAATATTCAAAATTAAATAACAGAGAAGGTAATGAGTAAAGTTTAGAAAAGAAAATTAGACTATAGTTAATTTGGAAAATGAACAACACATTAGTAAGGCAAAGAGTTGGGGAAAGAGAGATGGTGCCTAAGTAACAAGCAAGAACAATGGAATCATCATGTAACTGAGCAAAAATAAGAGATATAGAGACTAAATCAAAAAATTGAGAAATAGAAGAGTAAATATGATCAGTTGTGCCACTATCATCAGAAAGCTGCATAAAAATTTGGGTGTTTAATTTGATTATTACCATCATCACTAACGAAAAAGTTAACAGTATATCGTTGAAAGTTGTTCACATGTGATGTCACGTTAAATACTTAAATGAAAATAATAAGGCTATTATTATAGTCATGTAATTTGATTTGAAGAGCTCATAGGCTTTATTTACTATTTCACATAACGTTTCCTCATTTACTTCCAAATATAGAGAGGTCGAGGTAAAGAGGATAACCAAACTCTATTGCCCTTTCTTTATGATCGTGTCAAGATCTCCGAGCAACCCAAAACGACACCGTAGAGAAAGGACTAGGTAATCCTTAAAGATGGAGGTGATATGAGGAATTGTCGCCGACAATAGGGTTAACCATTTCTGAATTGGAAGATAAGGAGCAGCTTTTGTAGAAAGTAAGTGAGAAATACCTAGAAGCAATAACATTTAAAGACTTATTGGAAGAGGTATCACAAGATTAACTTGTGCTGAAGGAGATAATGACGTAGAAGGTGTAGGAGTTTGCACGAAAGCAAGAAGTTTATTATATTGGTCCCTTATGAAATGGAAGGAGGCAGCAGAAGATGAAGACTGAGTAGTGCCATCAACTGGTATAGAAGCATCTAAAGTAGTTGTAAGGTGCACAGAGGAAGAATTTTGAGGCTTATAACTAGGTGAATAACTATTCTTCTTGTAACAAGTTTCCACAATATGCCCAGACTTGTCACAAAACGTGTAAAATTTGCTATTATTGCCAATGTTTCATGCAAGAGCACCTGTAGGAACAAGAAGACGAGATGAGGTGTGATTGAGGAAAAGTTTAAATGCCATACCTGAAGCAAGTTCGTGTTCTTGTTGAATAACTACTTCAAACACACAATTTATTGAAGGCGAGGGTCCAATAAGCATAATCTATGATTTGATAGCCAAAAAATGCTCATTCAATCCATTGAGAAATTGAATGACACAATCTTTTTAAAGATATGAGCGTGTATTGGTAAGAGCTCAACAAAAATGAGAAGGAGAATAGGAATAATGAGAAAGCAAATGAAGATTGGTTAATTCATCCCAAACAATCTTCAATCGAGTGAAATATTTTGTGATAAAGAGAATCACCTTGCTTCAACTAATAAAGTTCCTCTTGAAGTTCACAAACCCAAAAAATATCACCTTGATTAGACCAAACTTCATATGCTCGATCAATCCATGTGATGCTTTGTGCAATTATTAGCATTAATGATTGCTTGAGCTAGGTAAGGCCGAGATTGTTGCAATGCTACCATGGTAAGAAAAGCAGATCAGAAGTTCTTAGCATAGGAAGACTTCCATGAGCAAATTGAAACTTGTTCTTAGATAAAAAGGCCATCTTCATAGCCCGCGCCTACTGATGATAGTTGTCGCCATTCAACGCTGGATAAACAAGAAGCAATGCTAGATTTTCATTTGGATGAACATAATAGCAACTAGCTAAATCAGTAGAGGGATCAGTATATGAGGCCATGGGGTTAAGGTTTAATGGCACGAAACAAGGCAAAGAGAAAAGTGTAATCTCATTAGCTCTGTTACCACAATAGAATTTGTGAAAATAGTAACTTATCTTATTAATTCCAATATGAGATATATTTATACAAGGAAAAAAAGATCTATCAAGATCGATAAGAGATTAAAATAAATATCTATCGAGATCTATTAAAGAATAAAATAATAATAGAAAATAAAATAGTTATAATCACCCTAACTATATAAAACTATATACAATCAAAAATATAATATTGTCCTATGCCATTGCTTGACTAGAATGCTTTAGTACCCCAATTTTAAAGGCTTTACTCCTTATTTTAACTTAGGTGTAATTGAAGCATGTCACCCGTCCATCATTTATATTGTTTCTTCTATAAATTTCTAGTTGAAAGTGTTCCAGCATCCCTTATGGGGTTTACCCTTTTCATATATATTCATGCCACTAGAATTTGTTGATGAGGAACTTGGATAGACGTTGGCAATGTGGAAACCAAATTGATGTGACCACAACAAGGGATTCAAAATGATCTTGAAAATGTTCAAAGTCTTGGTTTATGAAATTGCTGGAATTTTCTTGTGTATCAAAACCAATTTTTTGGTTTAATTTGCATGTGAAGATTTGTATCAAAGCCAACTTCAACATTTGAGCTACTCAATCATTAAAATGGTTATAAAACACCTTTTTATACCACAATGATTATAAGATACTTGAGGCTTGTGTATGCATAAGTTACTCGGTAGAATTTATTCTTTATGACTAAAATATATAAAACCTCTCTAAATTTTGAAACAGTTGTATATGACCTCCTTCACATTTAAACATTTTAAAATAACTCTCCTAACATTTAATTTTTATTTTTCAAACCCCCCTTAGTGTTAATTAACTCTATTTTGTTATTAATAGAGTTTGTTATGTCAGATTAATCAAATACATATGGCATAAGACATAAAAAATATTTTTATTAACTTTTTAACATGATTTAAGGAGGGAAAAAAATGTAATTTTTACTTTTAATGTATATTGTGAATAGTCTCATTTTTTTAAGTTAAGTGACGTTGTTCTCATTTTCCATTGTTAACATGAGATAATAGAAAAACTATAATTTTATTAGTCTTTATCATTTAAGCTTATATTAAACAAATAAAAAAATATCTGAAAGATATCATTGATAGAAATTATATAAATAAAAATTTATCCTTTAATACAAAAATACTATGCACCATTGATAACAAAGAAAAATATGGATAAAACTAATACAAAAGTAAATATTTAAAAATAATATAATTTTTTATAGATTATTTGCTTACATAAGATTCCATGCAAGTTTTTATGTGGCTTTTCTTAATCTGACATGACAAACTCTATTAATAACAAGTAGAGTTAATTAACAGTAAGGGGTTTTGAAAAACAAAATTAAAAGTTAAGTGACTTGATTTTAAATGTTTAAATATGAAAAATGTCGTATACAATTGCCTTAAAATTCAAGGGGTTTTTGTGCATATTAAATTTCTTTATATATACTCAAGCCAACTTCAACTTTTTAGTCCTGTGTGCATGCAAAGATGGATCTAGAGTTTTATAGTTGGGGGGCTTAACTGAAAATAAAATAAAAATTGGGGGACCAAAATCTATTGTAAAGTAATTTATAAAGAAAAACAAAATTTTGACTAAAGACTTAATGATGTGTAGGTAGCAAGAACCCTTCCTTGCCCTCCTTAGATCCATCTTTGTATGTTTGTGTACCCAAATTTGATGAAAATGACCACTTTTCTTATGTTCGCCATATTGGAATTTAAAATAAAAAAAATGTTGAGGTTGGCCAATTAGGTTTGTCCTCATCATGTAAACCTTTGTCATACTTTAATCTGTTTCTCAATAATATATTTGGTTTGCAAGAGTGAGAAGAGAAGCTTAGACAAGTCTAATGAAATGCCTAGAAATATAAGAATCACGGTTCTGGTGAAGAATGAAAGGACACACATCACAATTGATGCACTTTTGGTCTGCAAAAGTAAAGTAAAAACAAGTCCTACAAATGATTAACGCCCATCTGCAATCTCCAATGCTATCTGCTTTTGTATGCTATCATATCCAGATGAATTGCTAGTACCAGCAACCCTATATTCTTTAGGCATATGAGCAAGTAAGTATTCAGTTTCTTCTACCATGGCATCCTCACCCAAGGATGCCTTTCCATAGCAATCAAGCCCTCTAATTCCATTGCTACTTCCTTCATAGTCGGTCTTTCCTCTCCATTAACTTTAACACATCTCATTGCCAGAAAAGCAACTTCTTTCAACTGTTTAGCATTCTTCTTCTGATCTAACAATCTCCTATCAAGAGTTTCCCATAGACGGTCTCTTTTTAAGGAAGACTCAAAGTATATAGCCAAATTTCGTTGTTCTAGTCTACTAAATTCAACTGCTTTGTTTCCCGTAAGTAGCTCTACTAGCACAACCCCAAAGCTATAAACATCACTCTTTTCATTTAACTAACCAGTGTGGAGATACTCTGGATCCAAGTATCCAAGTGTTCCTTGCACCATCGTGGTAACTTGAGTTTCATCAAGAGGGACAAGTCTTGAAGCACCGAAGTCTGACACCTTTGCTCTATGATTGTGGTCTAGTAATATGTTGGTAGATTTTATATCTCGATGAATAATTGGAATAGAAGTTGCAGAATGCAAATATGAAATGGCTTCAGCAGTTTCTACAGCTATCTTTAATCTAGTCTCCCATGAAATAGAGCATTCATTCTTTAATGGGTCAATGTGGTCAAGAAGGGTGCCATTATCCACAAACTCATAGACTAACAAAGGAACATCGGTTTCAAGACAACACCCCAAAAGTTTCTCCACATTCCGATGATTGATTTGGGAAAGCACAACCACTTCATTGATAAAATCCTTAATTTGTCTAGGATCCCCTCCTACTTTGGACTTCTTAATAGCAATTAGCATGTTGTCAGGTAATACACCCTTATAAACTGTGCCTTGCCCCCCACGACCAAGGATTCTATCTTCATCAAAGTTGTTTGTGGCATTTTGAAGCTCAACTTGTGTAAATATTTTGGTTCTGTCAGTGTATCCTTGTTGTTGTGAAAGTCTTTGTAGCAGCATGTTTCCTCCATTTTGCTCAAAATTTCTTTCCCTAATTTGTTTCAGAGTTCTTTGCTTGTGTGCCCAACATAATGTGGAGACTAGCATGAAGCCAATCAACAAAGTTACACAAACACCTGCAACCAATGTAGTCCATAGTACAATTTCAAGTAGGAAAAACGATTTGAATTTTGGCAAATAAATATATGCAAGAAGTATATTGCTATGTTTATTTCTATTTGCTCCCTGCTCCAATCCAATGCCCATAATGGACCATACCATCCCTCGAATAAATAAATCGTACTGAGAAATTAGGAAACTCTATTATTAACTGGATACAACTCAAACAAACTGAAATAACAATAGCTTTTTTGAAAAGAGGGGTGTTGTAAAAGTGTTTTGGATGAATTTACATAAACATGATGGACGCAACGCGAGACAGAGTATTTACTATTTAGAGTCCTTTCGCCATGCAAGCTTCCTAGATAATTAAAAAAAAAAAAGCCTTCCGATTATTGAACAAAGTAAAGAAAACAAAAATTATTTTATGATGGAATTTTTCATTTCTAAAACTGAATCCAAAACAGAAAAACAGAGTCCATGACATTCTCACCGAGTGCTATTATAAGAATAAGCAAGTTAGGATTAGATTGAAGGAGAGTGTCCAAAGTGCAGCTAGTTCCATTAACGTAGCCATCGCCTTTATAACCAGGCGGACAAGAACAGTTGTAACTGCCATGGAATTGGGGCACTGCGCATGAACGGAGATACTGCAATTATTGGACTTGGGATCATCACACTCGTTAACATCTGAAAGTACAATTCAGGGGATCATGAAAACGTTAATCACGTAGAAAGGAAACGATAGAGGACATCAAAATGGAATCAGAATTACCCTAACACCCGTCCGGATAGATGTATGGATTTCCAGCTTGAAAGCCAGGCTGGCAAAAGCATCTGAATCCAAATCCACTGATGGAGTTCTGACAAAAGGCGTTGGAGGAGCATGTAGAATTGGAAGCTTCTCGGCAAGTACCCAAGTCTGGAATCTGTGGATCCACAATAGACCAATCTAGCACGAGCGTGGACATGTTGAATGGGAGGTGCTCCAGATAATGAGGAGAGAAATTAAAGGAGCCTTGTTTGGCAACAAAAGCATAACTGCAGTTGTTGAAGCGCCACACGTTTTTATGACCGTTGAAGCTAAATGATTGAAAAGTGATGTTCCGCATTCGAGGAGGAATATCGATTTGGCAACACCCAATTCCGGAGCAAGTTTCGCCGGCGTTCTGTTCTTGTGTGAGGAGCTGGTTACATCGCGACAAGCAGCCGGTGGAATAACTCTGTTCGTCCTGGAAACTGTTCGAGTAGCCGTAACTATCACAACCTACACTCAGGAACTTGTTTGCAGAGCTAGAAATGGGGAAAGCAGTGATGGTGAGAGAGGAAATCGAGTGGTCAAGATCCTCTACCACTTGCGCCGATTCATTGTAACAAATCTGGGAGACATACATGGAGATGTCCATGTGACCGTCGAGGGATATGTTGAGGACTTCGATATTTGAGGAGTCGAAATACAATTTGTAGTTGTAACAGGTGAGACTGAAGTATTGATTCAGAAAGCAGCCGTCTCCAACGCCAAATGGATATGGAATATCCTTATCTCCGCATTTGCGAAGGCAATGACCATTCTGGGATGGTCGAGCTTCACCGGCTGCTGTCAGGGGTGTTCATGGGACGAGACGAGACCGGAACACCCCAGTCTCGTGTCCCGTCCCAAAAAAAAGATCGGGACTGAATTTTGGTCCCGTGTCCCATCTCGTCCCGTTGAGAGTCGGGACGGGACCGGGACAAGATCGGGACGTCCCGTTGTCCCGATAAATGAAATAATATCGAAAAAAGATTTAGACAATAACGTTCATTAAAATTTTAAATCATATAATTTGTTAAGTTTAAAATCAAAACAACACAAGCACATAAATAACAATAATTTAAAATTAGTTATTGAATTATATTAATCACAACCACATATTATAATAACAAATATAAGTGATCTTTATGATATAAGATTAGCAACAATAGGCAAGTCAAATACAATATCAAATCATTGTTCTTCTACTTTAATGAAGATGTACTAAACTAATTACTCTTTTAAAAATAAGCAAGAAATATGTTATAAATAAAAATTATTAAATAGATAGATATAAGAATAAATTATATTAATATAATTAATATATTATAAAAAAAGATATCGCCATGTTTACTCCATACCATTAAAATTATCAATATAAAAAAATTTTAGTTTTAAATAAGAATTGTAAGTATTAAAATTATAATTGATATAATTAATATAAATATAAATTATATTAATATAATTAATATATTTAAAATAAAAAATAATATATATAATATTCGGGACGGGACGGGACGTCCTGATGGTAATTCCGTGTCCCGTCCCGTCTCGAACCCCTTTCATGTCCCGTCCCGTAAAGTCTCGTCCCGATTATTTTCGGGCCGGGACAAGACCCGTCCCGATATGATCGAGATATCAGGCCAGTTCTAAACACCCCTAGCTGCTGCTATGACCACTAACATCTGATACAGTTCTATTGGTGCAGTTCTTCTTCTACACAGCATAGACTGTATATATAGATGAGGACGAGCTTGCATTTCATGGCCACGCGTACGTAAGCACGATTCACTTCACGTGGATGCATCCATCCCATGATCCCATTCCACGAAAGAACGAACAGGGCCTAACGGAGAGACTTTGAACGAGTCAGTCAATTCCAATGGAGCTTCAGAAATTAAATGACACCATGCCTATCATTTTCTTCCAGAGTTATTGGTGATTCTATTTGAGATATCTATAATTCTGCGCCAAAATTTGTGATCTGCCTTGAATTCGTACCTTACCATTTCAGAATTTATTTCTTCGATGACGTTTATTTTTTTATTGTTATATTTGGTACACATGTTACATTGTTTGATTATCTTTTTTTTTTTTTTCCTCTCTCGTTATCCACAGCATATTTTTTTAATGTAATTATTTATAAAATCATTTTGAAAAGAATTATTCATCTTTATTTCAAACTATTACCCGTAACTTCTTTTAAATGAATATCACTGATATTAATTATTAAATTGGCATATGAAAGACTGAAAATAAACGACAAATAAAGAAAGCGAGGGATAGAGAAAAAATAGGCACAGAAAAATTATCCTAATTTAACCCTGTTAAATAAGTGCTTATGCTCAACCCTTTTGAGATAATTTAAAGATTCACCCTTCTATAAAATCACCAAGTACAATCCCAGAGGTCTTACACTCACTTTCGCCTGCAACCCAAGGCTTCCACGGCCAACCTTGAACTTAGCACATTTTAATTTTATTATGCAACTCACCCAAAACATTTTATTTCAAATTTTAATACTACTTTTAATAAATTTTAAACATTATAGTTTCTTTCATGATTTTGTATAATTTTGTCATTATTTTAAGTCTCCACCGTAATACAATTTGTTGGACTTTTTCAAACTTTTTTTAATATTCCAATTTTTGTATACATTTCATTTTCGATTTTGAATTTTTGTCTACAGTTAAACAAGGTTTAAATTTGGGAAAATGACAACAATACAATCTTTTTAAATTATATAAACAACATTTTAATCCTTTGAAATGCCATAATTCTCCCGAAGTCTTTAGATACTTTTGTCAATAGGGAATTAATATAAAGAAGAATGGTTGTGAATATTAGAATAAGACTTATGAATGACAATTGATATTTGCAACACTTAAGAATATCAAGATTTTAAATGTAAACTTATAAATTACTGTTGAATTTTTGTGATTTTAAGAAAAAAAAATGAGTCTTAGAACAAAACTTGTGAATAAAAGTTAATATTTACAACATTTAAAAAATATATCAAGATTTTAAATAAGAACTTACGAATTGCTATTGAATTCTAGTAATTTTAAAAATAAAAATTGTAAATCTTAGAATAAAATTTGTGAATGGTAATTGATATTTGAATTAAAGATAATTTGATTATTTATATTAATTTCTTAATGACAAAAAAGTCCCTAAAAATTTCAAAGAAATTATAGCATTTTGAGAGACTAAAATATTACTTATATGATTTAAAAATATTTTATCATTATTTTTTCATTAAATTTTAAATTAAAAGAATAAATAAAATTTTACAAATAATTAATCAAATTAATAATTATTTGATAGATGTGTGGGGCCGGGGGCCCCCCAAGCAACATTCCGTACTTATTTGTTGCGAAATTAATGGGCTCTTGATTTCAAGATGGAATTCTCCCAGTCGTTTGGTGATGCTCATGAAATTAAAAACAAAACAAAATTTGAGTCTTATTATTTTTAATAAATGTAAAATAATTTTTTAAAAAAATAGTAATAAAAAAGTTTTTAAAAATTTTATTAATATTATAACATTTTAAAAATTAAATTATTATTTATTTGTGAATATCAAAAAGATCGATGCACGATACACGGTTGCAGGAATTTCAACTACCAGATTTGACTGACTTAGTTGATTGTTTTCCAAACCATTAATTTTTGTGAGGTATTTCACATACACACGGTTACAAGATATTTGGGATGTAATTATTGTGATAACCATTACATTAAAATGTACTCCCTTCATTTAAAAATATAAAATATTTTTTAAAAAGTTGAATATTTAAAAATATAAAATATTTTTAATTTTTTGAGGTGTAATTATTTTTTTAAGTATCCTTATTAATAGTAACTTTATATTTATTATAGGGTGTTTAATAAGAATAAATATAAAAAGATAGAATTAGTTTGAAAGTAAATAAATACTTTATTGGAGGGTGTGATTCGTCTAAAAAATACTTTACATTTTTTATATTTGGATTTAATGATATAATGATATAATTTCATGTGAATTTATATTTGGATTCAAATTTGAACTAAATTATCTACTTGGATACATAAAAGTCTTTGAATTTAGATTTACATGTTTTATTATAATTCCTTATAATTTTAAATTTCATCTAAATCTTAATTATTTGAAATTCTAGTTACTTCAACATTCTTGTTTTCTTCACATTTTTTTTATCAATGCTTTTATTATTCTCATCACTCCTTCTATTTCCTCTTCTCATCTCTTACCGAGTGAAAGATAGAAGTAAATTTATTATTTTTTATCTTTTGTTTTTGCTGCAAATCTTATCACATCTCTCAATTACTTTTAAAATTTTTTACACTATCCAAATAAAGAATTTAAATGTAAAATTATTTATGCAACTCCATCAATTCCAAAACTATCCAATTGCATGTAACTTTGTTTGAGATAGCAGAATCTGTAAATTACTGCTATGGTGATAGAGATGGAATTTCCTTCCTTCTTGTCCTCAATTTAGAGATTATGTGCTTTCCTTTTAACTTTGTTTCCACTATGATTATGAACATCTTTACCTTACATCAAGTAAACAGGAAAATAAAATATTGGTGGAGAAATTATCATTCGATGAAGAGTCATGGGGAACAACAAAATGAGTCATAATGATTTTCCCATTCATGACAAAATATGAAATAATGAAGATTGTTAATTATGGTTGTGAAATAAATTTCATATTTTTTTTGAACGAAATTATCTTGGCCAGGCATAGAACTAAATACAAGCGTGTTGGATGGGTTCATGGAATTAATATAAAAGTGACATGTAGAAAAATGAGTGTTTAAAGTCAGTTGATTTTTCGGGGCATAAAGTCAGTTATTACATACAGAAAAGTGGAGTCTTCTGAGTCAGTCAATGTTATCATTAGAGGAAAAACACACATTGGAATTTGGGAGCCTTGGTTTTTATTCTAGTTTTTATTTTTAGAAATTATTTTATATTATTAAAAAAAAATTCTAATAAAATATAGTTATAAATATTTTTAACATGTAATTATAAGTATACAGAGTAACTATTATTATTAAATATATTATTAAAAATTTATTATTGCTAAACTTGTTTAAAAGGATGAAGAGTAGCAATTAAAAAAAGAGACATATTGATCATTGTACAATAAAAATATACCCCTGCTCTCCCAATCCCCCCAATTTATAGGGTAGTGTTTGGAGGGAAAGTAAGGGGAGATTTTTTTTTTTTAAATTTTTTCTTTTCTCCACTCCACTTTTCCAACCAAACAAGGAGAGGAGAGCAATGTTGAAGGTGGTGACATTGTAGGCACAAGCAGCCATCTCTAGTTTGCCAGCTTGTCGAGCCATATTCAATTTTTGTTTCTAGGTTACATAAACTTTACTATCATTGTAATTAAAATACTTGCATTCGGATCTTTCGCTCTGTTAACAGTAGTAATCGGATCAAGATCACATGGGTAACTGGGGATATTAGCATAGATAGAGACTTTTTTTTAATCAAGTTTACCTAGATTTAATCTTGCTTCTAATTCAACTAGTAACGCAAACCCATAGGAGAGACAGTAGATGGGAGTGATTAAAGGGAGTAGCTAAAGCATAGCCTCTAGCAATAAATGGAATGCTTATTAGAGGTGGCACTTGGAGCTGAAGTCATTCAGCTTAGTGCCTATTTAAATTTTAATTGAGTATAATAGATTATAAAAATAATTAATTAAGTAATAAATTTTAATCATAATTGATTATATTATAACGTAATTTATTTGGATACTGTTTTTTTTAAAATTGATTTTAATATAATTGAAGATGTTTAGATAATTAATTAAAATAAATTTTAGCTATATAAATTATTATAAAATTTAATTCTTAAATACCAAACATTAATTTTTTAAAAATATAAATTTTGAATTTTATTAAAAAAGGTTAAGTGAAGAGAGTTTGGTTTTATTTTTATTTAATATTGTGTCTTTTTTATAATATTTTTTTAAGCATTTCTTTGTAATCTTTCCAACACTTTTGATTAATTTTTTTGCAAAAAATTGATTAAGAGAGCTTATAAAAAAACACGTGTTTAAACAAATAATTATTTTTTGACTTTTTTTAGCTGTTTGGATAACATGACTCAAAAAATTAATTTTAAACTAAAAAAATTAATTATTACTCTTATCCAAACACACACTTAAGCGTCGTTGCCACTACACGATTAGTAGCATATGGTGCTGCTGCGACAAGCACCTAATGCACTTTGCACCATCAAATCGAAGCCTTTTGAAACTGTATATTTATTTGAATAACAAAATTAATCAATTCTAAAAGCCAAAACTAAGGGGTTTTTTGGTAAAACTATGGTTCTTGAATATAATGTAAACCATTTCTTGTGTATTTGAAAAAATTGTTGAGTCATCCGCCTAAAAAAAAAAAAAAGGATGGGATACAGAGTAAGAGTTCTATCAAATTGTCTTCTTTTTATTATTTTTAAATAAAAAAACATAATCGTAAATCCTTATACTTTACTCACATTTTGTTATTAATTCTCATACTTTTTTTAATATTTTTAATCTTTATATTTTTATTTTTTATTATTTTAAATCTTTTATAAATAAAATATAGGGACTTTGAAGGAATTTAAAATAATAAAAAATATAAATATAAATACTAAAATTATCAAAAAAATATGGAAATCAATAATAAAATAGAATAAAATACAAAAATTTAAAGTTATTTTTTTAGGTTATTCTCAAGCATAAAATTCAGTGTGAAAGGAAGTACCAAGTATTTATTGAGTACTACCTAGGGTATTTGGTCAAAATATATATATATATATATATATATATCTTTCTCTCTCTGTCTCTCTCAGGTAGCTGAGTCAAAAAAGAACAAGTTGGTACGAGCAAGGGGCATCCACCATTACTGTGCCAAGTTGACCACGCAGGACAGTTCGTCAATAGTGCTGTCCACAGTCCATTTGTTTTTCATGAGAACAACGATATTATTAATATACGAATTATTATTAAAAACTACTTATACTTTAAATCGAATGAAATATATGTTTGAATAATAAAATTAATCAATTTTAAAAGATAAAATCATGATTTTGTGAAAATAAGAATATTAATTTTATGTCAAAATTAATTATGAACTCAAGTCATGTTTTTTTTTAAAAAAGCTAAACACTCATACATGTCAAAATTAATTATAAATTCAAAATATATTTTTTTAAAAATTTGGTTATTTTAAAAAAAATTTAAACGATTAGATGTATGATGGATATTAAATCCGGTTAAAATATAAACGATTTAATGGCTTTTTTGTACGAGCATATATTTTAAATGATAATTACGAAATATAAATTAGTTAATTACTCCTATCATGGTGGTGGATGATGTAGTTGATGCAATTAAATCTAATCATTAGATGCAGACGAGGATTAGCATTGTAGTTTAATTTGTTTTCCCCTTTGACCATTTGGGGAAAAAAAGGCAAATGCACAAATTTGGTCATATATTATTTTTTCACAAACATCTGGTAACTTAAATTATTAAGTAGTGTAAAATAAATCATTAACTTTTAAAATGGAGTATCCAATAGACTACCATTAACTTCAGCTAACAAATGTTATGTGGAGCCTATAATGACATGTGATATTCCATGGGCACTCCATGTCAGTATGTGTAATGGTATGAATTTAGTTATGAACTATTTTTTGAGGAGCATTGGATAGTCTTTACTATAAAAAATGGACCATCTAATACCTTCCTATCAGTTTTGACTAAATACCGTTTATTTTCAAACTTATGAGACCACAATGTATCAATCTCTCCAATCTTCTTGCCTTTATTCTCAATTTTAGCTCAAGAAGAAGAGGTTTAAAGAGTTTTTATTTAAAGACATTCATGAAGATGATGCCAACAAAGTAAAAGAAATAATTCATTATTAAATTAAGCTAGAATCAAGCTTCTTCCACGTGTAGTAAAATTAAGCTTATATTTTATTAGCATCGTCCTGTGAATGTCTTCAGATAAGAATTCTTTGAACCTCTTCTTTTTGTGTTGACATTAAGAACAAAGGCAAAAATATTGGAGAGATTAACACGTTAGCCTCATAAGTATAAAATAAATGGTGTTTGGTCAAAATTGAAGGGAATGTGTTGGATGATTTGTTTTTTATAGTAGAGACTATCTAGTGCTCCTCAAAAAATAATTCATAGTTAAATTTGCACATTTTCGCATGCTGACGTGGAAAGCCCGTGGAGTGCCACAAGTTATTGTAGGCCTTATATAACATATGTTAGCTAAAGTTAACGGCGAGCCACTAGATGCTCTATTTTTTAAAGTTGATAATTTATTTCGCACCACCTGAGCGTGAGAGAAGCTCGATTCTAGCTTAATTTAACTATGAATTATTTCTTCTACTTCATTGGGATTGTCATTGTGAATGTCTTAAATAAGAATTCTTTGAACCTTTACTTCTCGAGCTGACACTGAAAACGAAGGCAAGAAGATTGAAGAGATTGACACATTATAGGTCTCATAAGTATGAAAATAAATTGTGTTTAGTCAAAATTGAGAGGAAGATTGTTAGGTGGTTGGTTTTTTATAGTAAAGGCTATTTAGTGCTCTTCGAAAAATAATTCATGGCTAAATTTGCACCTTTTCACACGCTGACGTGGAATATCATGGAGTACCACTTGTCATTAATAGGCACCGCATAATATCCGTTAGCTAAAGTTAATGACGAGCTGATGGATGCTCCGTTTTTTAAAGTTGGTAATTTATTTTACACCACCTGATAATTTAGGCTATCAGATACTCTTAAAAAAATAGTTCATGACCAAACTTACTATTTTACCCTAAAAAAAAACAACAACAACAGTAACAACAACAAAAATGTAGACAAGGACGCGGCCTTATGGTAAAATTAAAAATTTTAGCTATCGACAAGAGGGGGGTTGAACATGTAAGAAATTGTATTAACTTAATTAGATGTATTAAGTTGGATAGCTCTAAAAATACAATCACATTAAAATTTAACGGTTAAATATTCCATAAAAAAAAAAGTTTTGTTGTTCTAAAGAATCCTGCTAGGCTCAATCAATCTGGATTAATGTGACTAATTAAGTGGGGTCATCGATGATACAATGTGACCCAATGGAAAAAAAAATTACTCTCTACTTATATTTATAAAATAAAAGGGGAATAATATTTTGAATCATATTTATAAAATATGTCATCATCAATTTCTTCTTTGAAGCTTTTACACACATAGCCCCTATCATACGGCCAAATAAAAGAAATAGCCTATCCTTTCTTAAATTTTAAAAATGGCCCTTTTAATATTTAGTTGATATATAATTTATAAAATTATCCTTTTAAAATTATAACACTATAATTTTTTGCAAATACCAGAACAAACTTAAATGCGAGAAACTAGGCGAACGAGAGAGACAAACGCAATCTATAGTTACAATGGAAGAAACGAGTAGATCAAACTCGAAGACAAAAGAAAGCAGAGTGGTGTGAGCGAGTCATAGTCATGATAGTGAGAGACATCAATGGTACTTGACGGAATGGAGAACGTCAACAGGGAAACAGAGCTATAGAATTTTGTGCAAACTATGTTTGATCTATTTTTATTAAATGATTATGTATTTTTCGTGTCACTGATATGAGAAAGTACATCATTGATATATGGCTATATATCAATGATAAACAAGTTTATATCTGATTGTCTAATTATATTAATTTGCAAGAATATATTAATGATATACTATCGTAAATCATAAACACAAAAACAACATCATTATTTTCCTAAAATAGATCAAACTAGGCTCGTAAAAATTCTAGACGCTTTAGCTTATCACAAAAAATTAAATACCTAAAATAATAAATAAAAATCATGACAATGAGGGAATAATATGTATTTTCTATTAGTACTTCAAACAAATTTCATAATTAATGACAACAAATAATAGATGATGAGCAAATGATTTATTAATTAAATGAAATATCACCCAAATAAATAAAGATGGTGAAGATTCAATGATAGATAATACTCTTCAACTTTCAGAAAATAGAATACAAACAACTTCAATTTGGATCATGAACTATGCAACGTATAATGCGGAATCTGATGATGAAGTTTAGTCTTCAATGTCAAATCTCAACTTCATAATATATTGGGAAAAATAAAGAGGGAGAAAGAAGAAAAGTATTGGCATATAAGATTTCCCTCCTCTGTGATGAAAGAATAATTGTGAACACACAATTTAGTCAATTAAAGATTAGTTACAGAAGATATATTGTGTTTTAATAATATATTTATTCTGAGAATAAAAAAGAAAAATTACATCT